GTGGGAGATTTGGGCGAATACATTATAATAATAGGGATGGATATTATTGGAACGTAAAATTCTGCCGATTCCAATGACTGGCAAATCGCTACGATATGTATTGGACAGACGTTTAATCATGTTTTGAAAGTGTATAAAAACGTTGTAGAGTTAAAGGGATCTTGGAAAAAATTTTTACCTAGGCCCTCCCCCAAATTAAAATATTTTTTCTTAGGCCCTCCCCCCGGCTCAATTTTTTTTTCCTAGGCCCTCCCCCCTCAGACGACCGGCCCTCCCCCCCGGTAAATATCGTACAGTCCCTAAGCTGCACACACCTAATGTTACTTGGATTGGAAGTTCACCTGACGAGCTGACATATAATATATACCATCGTCGAGAAGGTTACCGGTATATGTGTTAGGTAAACCACTATAGGCGTGGCCGATTTTTTAAACCGGTTATAACTTGGGCTGGGGTGCATGTATCCTTTTGTTATTTGGTAGGAAGATTTGGGAATTGGGGTTGGGACGGCAAGAGAGACGATTATGAACCACAAAAATATATCTACAACTCCCTTACCAGTAATAGTACAGCACACTGTATCTCATAATCACAACACCAGATTTTCTGTATGCAACAATTTCAGATTACCCAAACCTAAAATGAACAGCAGTATTTTGCCTGTACCATGAACATTTGTAATATGTCATTTTAATTTAAATGTATGTGTTTGACTTTGAGACTTGGAAGATTAGCCCAGCACGGCTAAAAAGTTTTGAAATAAATACATGTATTTGAAATGAGTTGTTTGTTTCCAGGAGCAGTGTTCAGACCACCAGAAATATCTTCAGCATTGAGAATGGCTACAGGCTTCAGGATGACCAGTAAGTCACACTTTCCAGATATGTTCCCATTATCAAGGAAAATTCATATTTTAGCAAGAGGTTATTTGCAAATTGCTATCTTCTTTTGTAAACATTGGTCAGATAATGTTTGAAATTGAAAAGACTATCCATATGTAGCTATAGCAAGAATTCATATCAGACCTCCATGAAACCATGTGTAAGGCACAACATTTTAGAAAAGGTTGAAAATCTCATGAAAAAGGCCTCCATTTGCCTAGACAAGCACTGATGCAACATAACCAGTTTGCACTCTCCTTCTTGATTTTGCAAGAAAAAAACACAAGCTGTCAACAAGAAAAAAAAAAACACATGTAAAAGCGGGTAATACTAGATGTGGAAGTGATTGATGACTTTCTCAGTCTGCGACAGACTGAATCCAACCTATGGCCCATGTGGAAACACAGAAGGACACACACACACACACACACACACACACACATACACGTACATACTAAAAAACAATGTCTATTTTTCATGGAGCTAAAAACGATAGCTGTTCTTAATGTCAATTTCACTACAGAGTCATCAACCACTTCCCAAACCACTATGAGTTAACCAGGAAGGACCTGATGGTGAAGAACCTCAAACGGTACCGTAAGGATCTGGAGAAGGAGGGCAACCCTGTGTCGGAGAGGGACGATGAAGGGAGATACAAGTATTTAGGTTAGGTATAGGTTTGGTTAGCCTCTACCAGGCTTCAGAATCGGTTGGAAAGACTAGAAATTGGCATTCTGAAATGGACAGATTACACGCAAGGGGAGTTGGTCCAATAAAGAAAACCAAACACGAAACTCTTTCAGCAGACCAACTTTTCTGACACGTTATCTTTTGGGCCAATTTCTAAAGAAATACAAATGCATACATGTAGGTTAGGTATAGGTTTGGTTAGCCTAGACCAGGCTTCAGAAGTGTCTGGAATGAGTAGAAATTGTCTAAATAGACAGATAACATGCCAGGGGACTTTGTTCACTAAAGACAACCAAACCCCTTTATAAGCAGACCAGCTTTCCTGACAATGTTATCTTCTTTGACCAACTACTCTTTCCAGCCTCTTCTAATGCCTGGTAAAGGCTAAGGTTGTGTATTGATAGAGTAGAAGAATTACATATTAATTAGAAAATGTCAATGGCAGGTGTTAGTGGCTGTATCAAAATAAATTATATTGCTTAAAACCTGTCACTCTCCTAGGGTAAACCTGTTCTGACTTTCTAAAAACAATCTTTCAAAGAAACAATCTTTCTGAGATGAAACATTGTGCAGTGCT